ACTTCTCTCTCAGATTAGCTCCTCTTTTTTAGGGGATACCTCAGGCTCAAGGTAGAGAAAGGAGGCTTTTCACCACGTCCTCTCTTTCTAAAAAAGTATTATTTGATGTTAAAGCTTTTTGGTGATGTAAAGTTGTTTCCTGACAATGTCAAAGGGTTTCACGTGGCATGGCATTATGACTGTTGACTTACATGTCTTTCACTCAACAGATGACGTGAGGCCCCCAAACGATGACATTCATTTTGAATAAACACGGTGGCACATTAGCTTTGACTTCTACGTTGGACTATGAGTTCTTGGAGTGCACAAATCATGCCCCATTTATCTGTCTATCCCCAAATATCTAGGACAGGGAGCAGCACCTGAATTGAAATAGAATTGAATTGCATTTCAACAATGTTTCTATAAAATAAAAAATAAAACCCAAACATCTCAAAAACAAAACCTTCACTTTAGGGGATTTACAAAGTTACACATTTATCTTTTTCTGTCCATTTGCCTCCTGATTAAACTATATGTATTTTTTCATAGGACACTAGACTTACACACTGACCTGATATTATTTCATGCCCAAGTGTGGGGAAAACGTTCCCTTGTTGGCCGTGCACTTCTTCAGGTATGATCTATCTTTAGATGCGTTGCTTGCCTGTAAAATGACAGCAAGAACTGTGATCTGGAAAACATTTTCGGTTGCAGTGGGCAAGAATACTTGACAATTATTTAGAAATATCTCAGGCATGCAAAAGAATGAAAGGAAAAGGAAAACTCAACTTTTTTATGGGAAAGAAGTGTGGCATTTGCCTTGTTTTAAAATTCAGTTATTTTTATGTTCTAAATTAGTACATCTTTTCCTTCCCTCTTTCAAAGGGCTAACTTTGGCTTCTGTGGGTAATGTCTTAGTCCATAAACTTAGATGCTCTGCTTTATAGCTCAATCCATGACATCAGACCATGGGGAAATTCCCAAAACTGCCTAATCTATCCGTTTCCCTGGTTAAGAGAAGGAAAAATAAAGCTAACACACTATCTAGGTATGTTGAACAAATTCTATGACCAAGTAGACTGTGCCAGGCAGTGCAAAATATCAGCTTCTTACTTTACCATTACCAATCCTAAAAGGCTGTCTTACTTTTATTTATTATGATTCTGTTAAAAAAAAAAGAATGGCCATGACCTTTAACCTGCTTTGTATAGTGCCTCAGTTATTAGCATTTTTCATCTGTGAACACAGCGTGTCGCACCAGCTGCAGCCCACTAAGGACATCATTACGAAGCACTTGTACAGTAATCCCTCCACTGACAAAGGGAATACATGCATTCAAAGAAAAGAACTTGCTATAGAAATTCTGTGACCTGCCATAGAAATATATGAAACAGGGATGCATTCTGGAATGTCGAAAAGGGTAAATAGGCTGCAAATATGTGACTAATTAATAAACTATTATTAATGCTAGAAAATAGAAACATGGGTTACTAGGCTTGGGCAGGAGGAGATGGGAGAAAAGGCCCAATTTTGCTTAGGCAGGGGTCTTACAGGGAAGAAGGAAGTCTTCTGAGTTGAAGTGTGTCAAAGAACGAAAGGTTGAAGCCTAGCAAAACCTATTCTGACTTGGGCTGTCAGTATCTACAACAGGGTCAGAACCCATGTTATCCTTTCTGTGGAGGAAGAGATAGCTCTGAGGCACAGGCTTTGGACTCATGCTTCTAATCCTAATCACCATAAAAGGACTAAATTTAGTTTATCTTTAGGGCTGAATTTACATAGAAGCATAAAGTGACAGCCAAGGCTCCTCTATCCCCTGACTCTTCTGCTAAATTCTTGAAATTTTTTAAAGGGAAACAAAGACTTGCATTTTATAGACAGATGTGGCTGTTGGAAGAAAAAGTCTAACTCAAACTTGCTAAGATTGGGGCTCTCTGATCTTTCCTTGGAGCAAAAAGAACAGGCACTGTTGGGATGTTGGGAATGGAGTATTCATTGTGGAGAGAAAAATGGCACAGAAAGACCCAAGACAGACTCCCTTCATGAGCAACACAAGACTGCCTGTGTAATTTTGCCTATTCAGCATTTCTTTTCTGGATTCTTGTCCCTCCTAAATTATTTCTCAGCTTCCAGTTTCAGCCCCTCAATCTACCTCCTATCTGCCACTGGAGTGATTCATTTTTCTGAAGTGCAAATTTGATCACCATCCTACTGCTCAAAATCATTCAATAAATCATTCTTGCTTTCTGAATAGACGCCAAACTCCTAAAGTGGGTGAGGCAGTCACTGCCTGCCTGCCTCCTATGAACAAGTCTGTGGCTACCTGAGGAGCTTTGTTGACGCTCTCCCTTAAGCCTCTGAGCACTGTTTTTCACTCTTGGGACCTTCAAGACTCAAGTGTTACCTCTTTGAGGAAACCTTCCCTGACAAAGCCATCCTTGACTATATATAAAAACAAGTCTTTATTACTGCACTTTATCTATTGATTTGTCTATATCCTCAATTAAACTGTGAATCTTGAGACCTGGGCTTTGTCCTTTTAACAGGATTATTGAAGAGAATTGAGTCATGTCACAAAGTGCCTGCCACTGAGCTATAAAGCTTCCTATTAAAAAAATATGACTTCAGATCATCTTAAAAATTCATTTCCAGAAAATTAGCTATTTCTGGTTGTACAAAGATAAATTTCCATGAAGAATAGGTATTTTGCTTACTCTAATTTTAAGGACTCCCCCACCACCTCTTGTTAAAGGTCCAGGAGTGACCACAATTTTGAACTTGGGAGATATACTATAATCTCTGACCTGTGACAATTCTTTGTGAATAATGACAGTTGTGATTATCCATCACTGGGGGCTTGATGGTAAAGCATTCTTGTCTTAATACGTCTACTTAGCTCAGAACATTGGAAATAGAATTGGAAATATCCAGCTATTTTGCACTTAGAATTACAAGTTAAAGCAACTGCATACTTAATACCTCACAGCCTTTTGGGGGGGGGTGTAGCAAGCTGTAAAATCACACTGTAACTAAAATGAATTTTCTTTGGGGAAAGTTAGGTTTGTATTGCAGACACACTGCCACATCAGAAACAAAATTTTCTACCTATGATTTTCCAGTTGGCTAAAGTAAACCAACAGAAAACTTATGTGGCATCTTGGTCTATGGGCATGGCACTGAGAACATTACAGATGGCATTCCTGTAAGACTGTGTCCAAAAACTGGCATCTTGATAAATTAACATCCCAGCTATGTGGAGCAGAAGACCCTAAATCTCCGAGGTAAAGCTGAAATTTACTTACAATTCTAAACAAACTGATCAATTTGGGGAATGCTTGATGTTGTTTCCAAATACAGTACATCTGATGTTAAAAAGCACAATAGCTTTCCTACCCTTAAGTTTGTTCCTGACTTTGGAGTGGGGTGGCCTCATGGGAGTACATTTGGATGTAAAGGCTTCCTTTCACAGCTATTTTGGGGGGTGTCTCCAGGTAGAGGTTGGGTGCCAAGGGAAGGAGGGGGGGATGGGAGAGCAGAGGACAGGCACTATTATAATTTTGCATTTTTTGAACATTGCACCATGAGTTGAGTATCTTCTCATTAAACTGGCAAGTTATTAATATTTAAGGCTCTTGATACATATTGCCAAATTACTTTCTAGAAGTACAAAGGAAAGTTTGTCTTTCTACATTAGGTCCTGCTATTTAAAAGACACATAACAATTTGTTATAAATATTAACCTGCATTTCTTACATTACTAGAGGTTCAACCTTTAGAAACTGTCTTTTATTTCTTCTGTGAACTATCCATGTTTTTTCCTTCTATTGTGATTTTAAAATGTAAAAGTAGTAATAGTTGCTTTTAATTACCATTTTAAACATACTAACCATTTCCTTTGTGACTATTATTTTTGTGTTTATAAAGTGTTTTTCTATGCCCAGAACCAAAATTTATATTTTACAAAAATCCCAACCTTTTCTAATATAGTTTTTCTCCACCTGTATTCATACTGTTTGCACTTGAGGGGCACACCAGTGAGCCTTGTGGTTAACATTCCAACATGGAAGTTGCACTTTCTATCTCAGCTGTGGTGGTTCTATTAATCTCACTCCACATCGTAGCGTTGCTTCTTCAAGCCTATGTACTTAGTTCCTTTAGTTATTTGTAATATTATTCACTAACATTAAAATTTTGTTTATATTGAACAATATATCCTGCAGCACAACTAGAACATAACATATTTGGTAATTCCATGTACACTCCAATTTTATGCATTTAGTTTGTGGCTAATCTGATTTTTATTTTAAATAGATAAAGAACACTTCTTGATCCTCTTTTAACACAGAGAACTACTGGTTCTCATTAACTCCTGATTAGCTAGCTAGCTATAGATACAGAGCATGTTAATTTCTACAGGCACCTTTCTGAATTCAAGTAAAAGTTTTGGTAGACAAGGATTTCCTACTTAAATGTCATTGACATAATATGAATATTGAGTACAAATATTGCTCACCATTCTTGCATTCTTTAAATTATTTTACTTTGAAAATTTACGCACTATCATTAAGTCATTAATAACATAGGTTTTCATTTAAGGAATATTTTGAACTGTGAAAATACAAATCTAATCAAATTAAGTTTTGAACACATATAGAGCCAAATATTTCAACAAAACTGCAGTTTAATTTCAGAAAATGTGTTAAAATATATATTTATACATCAATTTCTGACATACACTTAACGTGTTAGTATACACAAAATGATGCTTTCTCTTGAAACTGTATTTATGAAATGTACATTTTAATTTAAATACTCAGTATACACTGCACTTAATCTGCATGTTGCATTTATTAAATACATTAAAATCTGCAATGTAACAAAACGTTTTCTGCATACGAAATTCAAAACACCATTTTAAATGAACAAAAGATGGCTCACTTCATTTTTTTTTTTTTTTTTAACAACTAGCGTATAGTACACTAGCTCAGCTCCACCATACTACCTGTTCGTTCTTTTTCATTTGACATTGTTCACAGACTAGTACGTATTACAATAAGAGTGCTGGATAAAAACATGAGGTACGAAAGTGGTTCAAAGATTATAGGTCATGCAGATCATGCTAGACAGCAAAGAAAACTGTGACTGAGAAAACACTAAATAAAAATACATAAAGAATGTGCATTATAAAAAAAACTCCATTACACAGCTTTGCTTCTTTGGTTACAAAGTAGGTTGAACAATTTCACAGCTTTTTATTCCCACCCGAAAAAAAAGTCATACGAAATGTCAAAAAGCAGAGGAATCGTGGCAATTTCTCTATTAGAAAGTAGAAACAAATGAACAAAGTTTTCTTCATCAAAATAGCCCAATTATTTATTATATCACAATAACTGGTGACTACCTGTACAGTTGCACTATGTTCTTCATACTTACACTATACAAAATTTACATTCAAGCTGGGTCTTTACTACTGAAAATAAATACCGAAGGTCAATTGCCATTAGTGTTAGAAATATGCCAGGATTCTTTTGTTCAATTATTGCCTAAACGTTTTATCTATTAAATGCAATCCTGTCTTTCAATTCCTTTACTGATATTTATAATTATTCAAAAAAATTTAAAAAGTTCTGTGACATTGTTCATGTACATTATGAAAATAGCAGCCCTGTAATAAATAAAACACAAATAAATGAAAACTTATATAGGCAAATGTTACTGATATTCAAAGAAAAGTGGCTCTTTAGATGAACTGTTATTTATAATGTGATAGGAAGGCTCAGGGTAAATCCATGGGTAATAGGAAACATGGGAGAGCCACCAAAGCTCTTCAAAGACCTCACTCATGTGCACCAGGTAAAATGCAGACTTTGCTCCCTTTAATAAACCCCATCTATTATTCTCCTTGTGTACTGATGACATAGAACTGGATATCAATAGTGCTGCATGACATCTCAAAGAGAGGAAAAGCTCTGTAGAATGATTGTCTAATACTGAAAAGGCCAAACACACAACCAAAGCATGGCTACTTGCTTTCATATAAAGTGGAAAGAACACCAGTGGCACACAAGGATAGATTGCTTTCAGTTTTGTCTTAATGAGGCAAGAAAGCTTTATGCTGAGGAGACATTCGGCTGCTGTGGAGGTTGCGTTGGCTGCGGAGGCTGTGCTATCACTGCTTGCTGTTGAGAAGTGCTACCAGGATTGGCCTGTTGGGCTGGGAGTTGGGATAATTGATCATTGTTTGAAAGAGATTTTAACAGTGCATTTTCTCGTTCAAGTAAAGAGTTTCTTTCAACTAATTCTTTTATTTGTTCCTTTAGAACTTCCACTTCTTCTCTTACTGCATACATCAAATGGCTTTTCACCAGATCCTGTGAAAAACAAAATTAGGAATGTCAAAAAGTGTGAAAGGGAAAGGTGCTGCTCTTCGGTTCTAGTCTACCTGGTGCCTTATCAACATCAGGTGTTTTGACATTACTTTTCCTGCTCTTGCTTTTAATGTTTCTACTGTATCTTGGCTGGTGCTAAGCGAGATGAGGTGGAAAAAATCAGTTCCCCAGCAGGGCAGCAAGCCCAGGATTTTCTTTTCCAAGTTTGGAGTGATTTCCAATAATACTCATTCTTTAAGTTGTCAATTATAAGCTTAGAATTCAAAAGAAAGTTTAAAATCACAGGGTTAGATGTCAGACCAAGAGAACAAGGATATTAAACTGTCTGATATTAAACTAGTTATAGTACTGCTTTAAGAGAGAAAATGACCTGAAATTTCCTACTTTAAAACCTTAGGATTTTTTAAAAAACAGTTTGAGACTAATGGTCCTTATTTATAGCCTTTCTATAGTTTTTAAAAAAAATTTATTTAACCATATTTGAATCCTAAAACAACATGTTATTTAATTTTGTATGTTTTTAATGTTAGATAAATTAAATCATATTCTTTTGTAACTTCCTTCTATCACTCAACAGTATGACTAACAGATTCTCCCATGTTGTTGCTAAGCTTAGTTCGTTCATTTTCATTGCTGTATAATACCCCATTGTATGAATATGCAACTCTTTATTCCACCATGGATAAACATCTGTATTGCTTCCAGACTGTGGCCATTAACAAACAGTGCAGTTAGAAACAATTTTATAAACATCTTTTTTTTTTTTTGGTGAGGAAGATTGGCCCTGAGCTAACATCTGTGCCCATCTTCCTCTATTTTGTATGTGGGTCGCTGCCTCAGCATGGCTGACGAGCGGTGTAGGTCTGTGGCTGGGATCTGAACCTGCAAAACCGGGCTGCTGAAGGGGAGCCTGCTGAACTTAACCACTGTGCCACAGGGCCAGCCCCCATTCTGCAGTTTTAATAAACTTGAATCAAAATATTTTGTATAATATGAACAGAATACCTTTAAAGGAACAAAAAAATGATAGAAATAGCAGAAATCAGAAACAGAATCAAAAGAAACAAGTCTATTTATTAAAGCTGAGTAAAATAGTATCTGTAAGTGACCAAAGAATGACAAAGGTTTCCAGCTGAAGTTTTCATTTTAATACTCTTTTGTCTCTAAACTATTTTTGATGCTGAAATATTTTGGGGGAACATTATGCATTTTAATTATGTATGCCCCACAAAATGGCTCTTACCAATGGTAATGCATGAAATGTGAGATGTTCAAATGGGGGACATATTTACTCCCTTGGTATTTCTAGACAAAAAATTCTCAATGTCCTAGCGACTCCAACTATATCTCATTATCAAAAAATATACTTGGGTCATCTTGGTTTAAAGAAATTAGGTGTTTGTTTCTTAGAATCGATCAAAACCAAGTGCTTCATACAACCAACAGTCTATGACATGAGAGGATTATAAACGTCTACTTACCATTGCTTGTTCTATTTTGTTGTCAATGGCTACACCACCTCCCCCAGATGCACTGGAAAAAATTAGAATATTTCATTAAATTATTCTAAAAAATGTAACCTCCCTTCCAACTCTTAAAATACTTAAAAACATTTGTGTTTTACTTAAAATGAAAAATAGTAATTTAAAATAGCTTATTAAGTCTATTCTCACAACTTCAGTACTCAGAGCTCTCATTTTGAAAAAGAACATCTCAGTAAATAAATGACTTTTAAAAATCCTTTGTAGTTCCAACAATTCTAATTTGCCTATGACATACATATGCTACTTTAAGAGCAACTCCCAATTCTATTCAGGAGTTCTTAATTTGATGAACTTAAAAAGACACACTTCGAATGAGCAGTACCCTCTCCACATCTCTTAAACTTCATTTACCAGTACCCTCTCCACATCTCAAACTTCATTTACCAACTATATATTCTAATTGCCTTTCATGTGGAAATTCTAGTGGTTTGCATTAAAATTCAAATGACTTTTCTTCTATAGAGTTTATATTTAATATTTGGTTTTTAAATGTTTAGAACTGGCTTCTAAAATGGTTCAGAGGGCTTCTGGACATACAGTACTTGCAGGGTCGATTAGCAAGGAACTCAACATTCTGGCAGACCTTCAGGCTTTGACTGTAGGTTACTAGCTGGCAAAAATCACCTACTAAGGTATGTGATTTAGACCAGTTTTTCCTGGAAATAATTGGAAGTAATCTAGCTGGTAAGTACATCTCAAGTTCAAATATCACCTTAGCATTTGTATGATAATGACAAAGAAGGATGAATAATGGTCATCTTTAGCAGTTTATATTCTCCCATGTATAAACTAAAATAATAAGAGTAGAGAGGATCTATATCCTTTTCTTGGTGTTTTCGTAGCATTTGAAGAACTTTAGAACAGTTATTAGGTTTTCTTGTAAAGACAAATCTGATACTTTAGTCTCTGAACAATTTTTATACAAAACTTTAATACTCTTCATAAAGTATACTCCACCTAGGAAAATTTAGGTGCTAATACATCTGTAAGACTATTTTACTGTAGATTATGTGGACCCTCAATGTTCTATCAGATTGAGGCTCAGAAATATCCTAATGTAGTGGCCGTAGTGGCCTTTTATACTGTAATCCAAGTAGATCTGTTTAGAATCTTCGTTCTGCTACTCACTATCTGTGTGACCATCAGCAAATCAACTATTTAACTTCCCTGGGCTTCAGTTTCCTCATCTGTAAAATGAAGGGGTTGGTGTCAATGCCTCAAGAGACTTTCCACTTCTAAATCCTTGAAACTCTGAATCAATACATAGAAAACACTAAGCTCACTTATCTGAGCATTAACCACATTAATTACAGCATACTACTTCACTTTTTGCTACTATTATTTCTAAGATGAAAAGGCGCTTCTGTACAGACCATCAATAAATACTTATACGTGTTAGGCTTTAAATGCCTGTATAGAGCTGTACAAAGTACGGCTATATATGTAACTATAAACTACAGAACAACTATATAGCTCATAAGGCTTCAGTATAAAGTTCAGTCCAGACACTATGTGGATATATATTCACTAAATATTGGCCACAATTTGGCAAAAAAGATTGTGACAGGCATTTAAAGTTTGCCTGAAAATCCTTGATCATACTCTCTACATTTTTTATTTCTATCTCAAGGACACACTGAATTAGTTTTAGTCATTTCATTACTTAAATACATTCAATTCTTTCAACACATCTGTTTTAAACAGAACACCTTAAATGCTAACTTTAACACCAGTTTTATATATTAACAAGCAACCAAAACAAAAAACAAGTAAACCCCAAACCCTTAAAAAAAGGTTACTGCTTTATTTTTTTGATAATTAAAATAAAATCAGTAAGTTTCCAAACCATCCCCTTAGCTAAGGAACAATAATTTGCATGCTATTCTTTGCCGATCCAATAAACTCTAGTCCTGACTCAGACCTCTTTTACAGCAACAGAGGAATAGGTTTGCAAAGCATAAACGGATCATGTTGAAGATATGTGTCCCTTAAAAGGTACTAATATTTCAATTTTGTTAAGTACTGTACTTCTACAGAATTAAACCAGTTACCGATACAATTACTATCACTATAGGGACCTTTGGCTATTTTGAAGGCTGTTATTCAAGAATTCTATAACTTACTGTAGTGGTTCTCAAACTTTAGCATGCACCAGTCATCTGGAGGTCTTGTTCAAACATAGATAGGAGGCTCCACTTCAGTTTCTGATTCAGTAGGTCTGAGGTGAGGCCCAGGAATTTGCATTTCTAACAAGTTTCCAGATGATGCTGATCCTGCTGCCTGACAGACCATAATTTGAGAACCACTGGTTTACAGAGATGAAAGTTATAAGAGAAAGATAAAAAACCTAACTCTATTTTAAAAACTTCTCAGCATGATATACAAAACCCTTCATGGCCTTGACCTCTGCCTTCTATGGTCTCCTTCCCTCTCATACTCCATCAGGCCTATTGTCTTATGGTCTTACAGAACTATTTGCAGTCTGTGGAACATATGTTCTCTCAGGTTTCCATGGCTTTGCAGAAACTCTCCCTCAGCTGGCAGTGCTTGAAGTTTCAATTCATCTGGCTGTCTTCCTTAAGATGCTCCAGTGCCATCTCTCCTGTGATGCCTTCTGATATCCTGAGGTAGAACCAATTACTCCACCCCTCCCGTGGTCCACTACCCTTCACAAACTTTTTATAGTGCATAACCAGGAAAGCAGAAGAGCAAATTCTGGCCTCTCCATATATTCAATGCGTGAATTCTGGGAAATTACCTAACCTTTCTAGACCTCATTTTTTTCCATCCAAAATAAGGATTCTATGCCCCAATTCATAAAACTCCTATGAGACAGGTTCCTTATCTTCTTCACCACTGTGAAGAAGTGAACACAGTGCTTGGCACAAAGGAGCTCAAAGGCATACTGGAAGAGTCAATATGATAGTAATTAGATTTGAAACAACTACTGGTTCATACTAGGAAGCCATTAAAAATTTTTGAGTTTGAATAAATTAGTAGTTCTCAAAGTACAGTCCCTGGACCATCAGCATCACCTGGTAACTTGTTAGGAAGTGTAAATATTTGGGTCCACTCCAGACCTACTGAATTAGATACTCTTGAGGTGGGACCAAAGAAATCTATCCTCCAGGTGATTCTGATAGAAACTAAAGTTTGAGAACCACTGCTTTAAATAGCCTGATTTACAATAAAGATACCAAGATGGTAGTCTTAAATAAGCAAATAAGAAGGTATTCCATTTCAAGATCCCAGACCATGGTTTAAGAAGATTTCAACGAGGGTAACGAGTTGTTTTCTGTTGTGTTCCAAGTCAACATAGTGGTTTGGGCTTCACGCTCACTTTTAAAATGAGAAAGATAAACTTAAGTAGAATGAGTAATTTTCCTTCGTTTGCTTTCTTGACCTAATGTTATAGTATTATGCCTTATTTTCTTTTTTTATTATTGCAGTCACCACACTATAACTTGACGGTTAACCAGTTTCCGAACTTAAGTTTCTTAAGGGAAGGCTGCCCCCCCTAAGACTTTGTAGCTATTCTGGTAAACTATAAGGGCTATATAAAGGCAAAGGATAATTTTTAAAAAGAAAGAAACTTTGTTTACTATGGATCACTCTTTTAGAATAAAACCATACCTTGATTAGCATTTACTAGATGAATTAAAAATTGTGGGTATGGAGGGAATGGATAGAAATATAGAACTGTGGAAAAAAGACAACATGAATGACTATATTACTTTTTATATGATGAATTTTTATTTACTGGAATTGTGGCCCCCAAAAGATCTAAATGAGCTTGAATTTAGTGTTTAAATAAAGTAAATTACAATCATATTCACAGGGAAAGTAAAACTCAAAGTATCAACGCTCTAGCAAGACAGCTTGGCTCCCCAGCACAGCTTTTCTTCCCAGGCCTCCTTACTTTTATCGCAGTAGATCACCTGTAACCTCACTGAGAAGACAAGAGGCCATATATGAACCTCTAGCTTCACAAGTTCCCTGCATTTTCATCCTTCTTAATAGGCTAACCACTTCATCTATGTTCTCAGCTCAGCAACTTTGCACAAATCATCCCCAGTCTTTCCTCTCTAAAAATTAAAATCAAAAATTAAAATCAACGAAGGCAAAGTTAGGCTAACTTGATCTCACATTAAAAAAAAAATCTCTTTATGAGAAATCAATTTTTTCCTTATCTTATAATCCTAATTAAACGAGTCACGGCTACTTGTTTAAAATACAAATATTGCAAATCTCTTCTCTCTTACATTTTGACTACTTTGCCTTTCTTCTGTTCTCCCCTCAATACAAATGCTAATTAACAAAGCAACAAGGTAGAGGAAAAGAACCCTTAAATGACTCCCACTACACGGCAGGCACACCTTACTACACGCCTGAGCAACATGCTCATTTTATAGTTAAGGAAACTGAGGCCAAGTAACTTACTCAAAGACACAATGCTAGGAACAGGATTCAAACCTAGACCTAATTAATGTCAAAACACGTGCTTTTTCTACCATAAAAGTAAGACTGTGAAAGGAAGAAAGCAACTACCTATAATGAACTAAAAGAAATACGGAGTTGTGTATATTATGAAGAGTGCTTTAACTAAGCACCAAACGCTAGTTGTGAAACCATAAGCATGGATCCAGAGATTAACCTATGTTCATAACATGCCATTTATCTTATCTAGCACATTCCTAGAAGAGGTTCAGCTCCGAGAACAAGGAAGGTAACTTCTTAAAAAAGGCACTTGCTCAGTGATCTTTAGACAGCAAGGACAGTGTACTTATTAAGAACTAAAATGTTCTTTTGGTTTAGAAAAGCTGAGAATATCTTAAAATTGTATGTATCTGTATGCAGAACACTGTAAAAAAAAATTATCTTGCTTTACTCAAAGACCCTTCTAACTTTCTGTGTTGACTCACAATCACAATTAAAAACCCACTACAGGAATCCCCCAAATTACAAAAGCAAATCTTTTGTAATAAGAAC